TAATTGTAGTCTCTGTTTTTACAAACTTTTAAAGTCAGTAAGTATCTTTACCAAGCAAAAAGCATGTCCGTGACAGTGTCAAACGTTCTAATCTCCTACTTACCTCCGGCATCTTTCGACATATGGATCCTCTCTATGAAACTGTAAACCTCCGTGTCTCAGCGCGTCCTCAGGGTTGGCAAAAGCCTTTCAGGGAAGAAGAAAGTTCAGTGAAAGTTCTCCGGTGCTGAGACTTTGTTGCAAAAAATAGCATTCTCTACTTTGCGCCTTCTTTCTAGTTCATAGTCACTCACCTTTTTACGAAGCCTTACTTGTCCCGTTATTATTGCTAAAATGTACATTTTTATCACCAGAAGCACCGCGTAGAAAGCAAAACAGGAGAAAACGTCATTTCTTATCATGTAGGCCATTGTTTGTATTAACTATCCAAACTGTATTGATATCGAAGTGGAGCTTCGAAGTTGGTGCGTGCGTAAAGCCGCAAAATAGTGAGAGTATAAGCCCGAGGGGGAAGGCTCTTTTGTAGGCTACTGTGGGTGATGCCTCCACCCACATTTATGATGACAGAAATAGTTCCCCAAGGCTATGCTTAAAACACCACATGCACAGTAGCAGAAGAAGTGCACATATTTTACCTAAAAGTAAAAGTAACAAAACCACACTGTAGAAATAGGGGAGACCGGGTATGGTTGTAACATGGGGAGAGTTGTAACAACACCAGTTCCACCAAATACAGATAACATAGAAGTAGGGTGATCATTTCAGTATGTACTACCACTTCTATGCGGACGACTCCCAAATATATCTGCCCCTCAAAAGAGGTGAAAACTCCCTCGTACCTCTACTCAACCCGGTCTCACTCCCAAGTCGTCACATATGGACGCTTGGTCAAGAGCCATAACCGTCAGTTTGTGACGCACTAGGGATCCCTTTGACGTCATAGTTCGACGTATTGAGGGAAGCCCTGTTGTGTCAGTTTTTGATGGTAAAGGCAAGTATGATATTTAAGAGAAAAGACGAAGTAAGGAGGTGATTGGGGTGGATAGAGGGCCAGAACCCGGACCTTGAAGCAGGAGAACAGGGTTTGTGTCCCGTGCGAAACAAAACATTAAATGTTTTTATTTAGGCGAGTGAGTTAAATTGACATTAACGTTAGTTAACTTAAGTCTTAATTGACATACATAGCTATTTTAACCCAAACCATGATCTTTTCCTAACCTTAACCAAGTAGTTTTGTTGTCTAAACCCAACCAAGTACTTTCTGTGCCTAAACGAAACTGCAACGTTTCACGACTTTAATTATGCGCGTTTCAACATGGCAATGTATCGAAACATTACGTTTTTATGAAAGTGTAACCGGATATTGCATATTTATTGTTGCTAAGCGTTGCTAACTTAACTGTGGATCCCTAAACGTCAATAATTGATGCAAAAGGGCTACCCAAGTCTTTAAAAAGCGACGACAAAGAGCCTTGACCATGCGTCAGACATTTGACGAGTAGGGAGTGAGACTGTGTTGCTCTACTAGAGTGTTTAAAAGATATTAAGGCCTGGATGGCTTCTAACTTTTTACATCTAAATGAAGATAAAACTGAGGTCATTGTGTTTGGACCCATTCGGGCCAGTGAGATCCTTTCAGTTGACCTGGGCTACCTGCAACAATATGCGAAATAGTGACAAATCTGGGTGTGAAAATAGACAATGATTTTAAACTTGATAAACAGATAAATAATGTTGTTAAATCCAGTTTTTATCACCTGAGGCTTTTATCTAAAATCAAAACTGTTTTATCTCGTAAGCATTTCGAGCATGTGATTCATACTTTTATCTCAACTCGTCTGGACTACTGTAATGCACTTTACATTGGCGTTAACCAAACCTCTCTCACGCTTACAGTTAGTACAAAACTCGGCCGCTCGTCTTTTAACCAGAACTCGAAAGCATTACACCAGTGCTGGCCTCGCTCCACTGGCTCCCGTTCCATTTTAGAATACATTTTAAGATCTTATTGTTTGTTTTTAAGATGTAGTGGGTTGGCACCTCACTGCATCTCAGACCTCTTACAAGTCTACACCCCCCCACGGTCACTTAGGTCTACTGACCAACTTCGGCTGGTCGCTCCAAAAACCAGGTTAAAAACTAGGGGCAACTGTGCTTTTTCAGCAGCAGCCCCTAAACTGTGAAATGAGCTACCTCCACAGGTCAAATTGGCCCCGACCCTCGAATGTTTTAAATCCCGTCTTAAAACCCACTTGTATTCCCTGGCTTTTAACCCAGCATGAGAGCTGTGTAGTCTTGTTGTTTTATGTGTTTCTATGTGTTTTATATGTGTTTTTATGTTTTATTTCTTGTTCAGCACTTTGTAAACCTTTGTTTTTTTAAATGTGCTATATAAATAAAATGGATTGGATTGGATTGGATTTAATATTTTCCAGATTGCCCTATGCTGTCTGGGTCCACCAAACCCACACTCCAGGGTTACCAGCATTAATTTGTCAGCACTGTGACCAGTACTCCCTATTCACATGTTGTACACATGTTGACGTATGTATCATCACTCGACCTTTTCCATACTCGGTCTCCAAGGGTGGAGAGGGTGGAAAGGCACATGGGCAGCTTGTGAGAAGTGTCTGCGTGCAAGAAAGTCCCGGTACGCCAAAGAGTAAAATATAGAAGTGCTGGTACTGGGTACCAGTGAAAACAAGCCACACACATCTTTTTTAGTTAGACTTTAGGATGTACAGAGATGTTCTTTAGTAGTATTTATTAAGTATACTTTTAAGTAAGTTTATTCTATAGATAAATTAACATACACATACTGTTCATGCACATGAGTTATCAGACAAAGTCTGTCACAGCAAGAGAGAAACATTGTTCTTTGATATCACTATCTGTTTTGGAAGCTTATCATATAGTGTGGCCTCTATTTTTGATTCTTTTGTGTGATTGTTACAACTTACCCCAGCATGTGTTACAACCTACCCCACTATTGGGGTAGTTTGTAACAAGGGAACACATTGCATTTGACATCAACTCACGAGGTCTGTCATATTCTTGTAGAGGATTGAATTGGTGCCATTTGTAGTGAACAAATGTGGGTACTTTGTATAAAAATTTGAGAACTCTAGCTAAAAAATTCAGTGAGTTAGAGTTACTGAAGCAAAAAGTGTTACAACCATACCCGGTCTCCCCAACTCTGTTACAAGTAAATTGGATTAGAAATTTTACTTAAGCATAACAACAACATGTAGCCTTACTTAAAGTATTTAAAGTAAAAGTTCACAGCTTCCTTGTCAGTGCAAGTCTATCCTATTTTATATTTTCAGATGATTACTCCTGATATGAGAAGCATTTCACTGTTGTAGCTGATAGAAGTGGAGCCAATTTCAATAATACTGTAGGGCAGGTATATAGGCTGCAAAATTATACTTGAGTAAATGTAGCCTACTTAGTCACATCAATATGACAGCCCTTTTTTGTTTAAGACGTCTGAGTAATTCAGTTGACAATAATTAACTGTCCCTTCAGTGCTCATGAACTGACTCAGAGTCGGATTTTTTGACTTTCAGAGCCAGCATGTCTTTGCTTTTGCGGTTTAGGGTTTTCGTTCTAAGGAAGTGATTTCAAGTGAAACTGCTGGCAAAATATAGGTTGGTTGCAAAACAATGAACATTTCGGAAATGAGTGGTGGTGGTGGTACATTTCACAACACTATGATGTCATTTTATGCAGTAGTCATGAAACCATTTGATCACAGCAGGGTGTTGGAAAGTAACTAAGTACATTTACTTAAGTACTGTACTTTTACAATTTTGACATATTTCACTTGGGTATTTCCACTTTCTGTGGCTTTTTACTCAGTGGTGAAGAAGTATTCAGATCTCTCAATTCAGTAAAAGTAATGCAGTGTTCTCTATTATAAGTAAAAGTCCTACCTTTGAAATAAAAAGTTAAAGTTAAAAAAATATATTTGCACAGAATCATATCAAGTAGCCTGCTAAAAGTAAAAGTAGACTACTCACTATAAAGAATGGCCCGTTTCAGAGTCATGTTATATTACTGGATCATTATTATTGATGCTAAAACTACCAAATAGCAGCAGGTGAAATGCATCATTATTTGAATTTGAAGGCTAATCTAAAATCTAAAGAGGTGGGTTTTGATAAGTGATTTGAATGTGTCCAGGTCACTAAATTCAAAGTGTCTGTTGATGTATATTTGGTATTATCTAAATCTGTAAAGTAACTAGTAATTAAAGCTGTCAAATAAATGTAATAAGAGTACTTTTACTCTTTGTTTGTTAAGTATGTCTTGCTGATAATACTTTTTCTTAAGTATAGAGTTGGAAGAAGTACTCAGATTCAAATCCAAGGAGTAAAAAACAGGACTTGACTGGAGATACTTGAAGAAGTTTCGCCTCTCATCCAAGAGACATCTTCAGTTCTAACTGACTAGAAGGGAGTGCCAGGTATTTAACCTCTGTGGGGTTTTTATCAAGGTGATGGATAACACTGGTTACTTAGTGCTGCAGTAAGACTAGTTGTGTAGAATTGTAGAACAACAAACTACACTCAGATCCTATTTCTATTCAACAACAATTACCAACTTTATTGCAATACACATCTCCTGTGAAATTTTATCTTCTTTATTTATATGTTGGAGGAGTGTCAGCCATCTGTCCCCTGTGTCTGCCAGTCCAAGGTGAGAGAACTGCCTGAGCTGGTGTCATCACAGCAGTCCTCAGCATCAGAGAAGGATGACATGTAGTGGAGGCCAGTTACTCTGTGGTAGCCTCCCTGGAGCATCTGTGGATAGGAGGTGAGCTCCATGGCCCTGCGGCCCGTCCTGCTCACTCTCACAGTCCACATGTCAACCAGCTGGGAACACATGGCACAGCCCATGGCGTGTGTACAAACAGGTGAGGAGACTGATTATACAGGTATAAACAAGTATCTCTACACCCCCACACAAGCGTCAGTATACATACTCACCCTCGCTTATTCACCAGCTTCTCTAATTTATTTTGTATTTTACAGGTGAGGGCAAGAAGCAACATCATCACTAATACACATATGTACGTATATACAAACCTGCAACTTATGCAACAGAAATATATTTACATATACCCAGATCTAATATATTGAACTACATTTAACAATCCAGTATATTTGTAATGTGCTGTAAAATATATTTCCAATTATTGCTGTTTCATAAAAAAACATGATCACATATTGTCCATAGATTTTAAGAGCAAGAGATTTCAGATCATTATATTTTGCAAACACATAAATGGCAATATATTGGCAAGTTTAGTAAAATATATGCGTACTGAATAAATATTTTATACCTTTATACTATGTAGGCAAAGAGTCAGTTTTACAGTATGACTGGTGTTTAAAACACAGACCTAGTAAATGCAAATTCCTGTGAGTAAGTATTTCCTTGTAACATGGGTTTTCTTCTATAAAAGGCTTGAAGTGAGGGGGGGAGTGGACAAGCAGGGAAAGGGAGGCGCAGAACAAAGTACCACAAAACAAAGAGTGCAGCTACTGATCAAGTTCTTTCTTGTTTTCAGCAACCAAGAAACCACAACAGTATAACATTCAGCCCTGCCTGCAGGGCCTGCAGGGTTATTATGAGGTAAAATGTTATAACCAGTCTTATTTCAAGGTGTTCTCCGTCTCTATGAGCTGCCAGACATGGTATGTAAATATTTACAGTGGCTGCTTTTGCATAAAAGCTGAGCTTCCACTGAGAGAGATATGCTCAATGTGAGTGCTACAGTCTTTCAGTCCACGACACAACTCATCTGGTGGTTTCCTCCTCTGATGATATTGCAGCACATTGATTTTTGCTTTAGCTGGGTGCAGGATCACCAAAGGGCCTACTCATAGTAGAGCGCTGATAAATGAATTGCTTCCTGTCTCATGTTAGTTATCCTCTCTTCAACTTCATGAAGCATGGCTGTCAAATAAGGTGTAATGTATATGCCTGAGGAAATAAACGAATGGAGTTAAGTTAGCGGCAGATTAAATTAGACAATCCATTGTCACTTTTCAAGGTAAAGGACAAAACTGATAAGCTGATAACAAAACAGTACAAATGTAAACAGTAAAACTATTTGAGACTACAATAAATAAAAATGAAAATAAATAACATAGATTAAATTATTTTACAATACAATGGCCATAAAACATTTTGATAATAATGCTAAAAAGGAGGTTTATACATTCAAAGATAACAGTTTCAGCTGCTCTCAGATCCTCGGACAGAGATTTTTAATGGCAACTAAAAGCCGCCTTGTCAAAAGTTGTTGTCCTGCACTTAGAAACAACTTAAAGCTTCATGCCAGAGGACTTGAGGGGCCGTCCTGGTTCATAGATTGGAAGCATGTCATACAAATAGGCTGGTGCTAGACCATGAAGTGCTTTAAAGACAAGCAAAATAATTTTAAAATCAGTACAAACACTGACAGACAACCAATGTAAGGACTTCAAAATAGGTTTAACATGTTTTATTCTTCTGGTCTGCTGGGTTCCGATCAGTTGCTACTGATTAAATAACTATGTACCTACAGGAGAGCTGTAGGAAATGGGTAACCAGGACATACTGAGGTAAAATGGGGGGAACCACTCGCTGAAGTGTTCATAGTCTGGAGTATTAAAAATGTATATATAACCCTAGAAGAATCCAGTTAGTTCTGACAGCTGTACCAACAGACAGGGGTTGCTTATTTTAATTAATAACATTACACTGATGTGATATACAACTGTGTATACTGTGTACTTTATAACATTTGTCATCATATTCAAAATAATTACACAAGGGAATCCATGCAGCTGACTATCCCTTTCACACTGGCACAGATATTTCAATGCATGATTGGTAATTATCCCAGTTCATTAGTGCAGATCCTGCTCATCTGACCTTCATCCTGCAAAGCTGGCTGGTGCACAGAGAACGTTTAGCCAAGAATGAAAATGACATTACTGATGGGGATGGAAGGACAAGCTTCTACCTGCCACACCCATCCCATCCCACTGCATAGACACAGCAGGGGCGACCCTCTTAAAGCCAGCCTCCATCCTGTTTCCTGGATTGTCACTTTTTTGTGATCTGCTGATTTGATATTCAATGGCCTGCACAACTATGGGATGTTTAATTATTCATCAGTGTATCTGGTGCATCACAAAATGCATCCATTACAGCATACAAGTAAGTATCCCAGCTTCGATGACAAACATGAAGAGCAGGAACCGTGCCAATATTTTCGTAATGTCATGTGGACGGATGCTGCAGCTGCATTTGTATGTATGTGTATATGAAAGACTAGTCCTTAAGCCAGTTTTGTTTTTATATCTTACCTGAATTGTTCAGTGCATGGGCTCGCAGGTCTTCAAGAATTCTCAGTATGTGCATCATATCCTCTCAGCAGCCCGGTGTGTTTTCCTCTCAGTCTGCCTCTGTCTGGGCAGGATACAGCTCAGCATACGTATGGGACTTAAGATGACATCACAGTTGCTCACTTGAGAGTTGCTCTCTCTTTCTTAAAACAGGTAAATCCTCTCTGTGTCTCTTATACTTAACTATATTGTTTCTGTAGACAACAAAAGTTACAAAAACAGTATTTTTTAAAGCAGTGTATTTATCATCTCATCTTTAAAATTCTCTCTAGATCAAAGATTTTTTTTATTTAGATTAGAAGTAAAGATGCTGAAATTAAAGTCAGTGTGATATTTATTTACAAATCTATTTCAAAAGGGGTACTCCAGCAAATTAGCATTGCTCCCACCAAGAATCCTATGAAGTTGGAAAATTCAGAAGAGACAGATTTGAAAAAGACTGGGTCCAATCTTTGCAGCCAAGGATGAGATATCCCGACTTTTCCTAAAATGTCTTTTCAATTAATAGTTTATACATTTGGGAAGTTCGCTTTTACACTTTATTGCAGAGTTAGATGAAAAGATTGATCCATGCATGCTAAATATAGAATCCGCAGCCTGTTAGCATAGCATAAAGACTGGAAATGGGGAAACAGCTAGCCTGGCTCTGTCAATAAGCAGAAAAGATAAGATAAAAAGGTTTTATTCATACACATTTTGTATGATTTAAAGAGATATACTGTGTTAATTAGTGAGCTTTAAAAGTGCTGGTGGGAAAATTTTCTTACCTCTGGACACAACCAGGCTAGCTGTTTCCACCTTGTTTCTAGTTTTGATGCTAAGCTAACTGTCTCCATTTAACAGATAAAAATGAGAGTTGTTTCGATCTTCTCATCTGACTCAGCATGAAAGCCAATTTGCCTTTTTCCCAAAATATCACATTTTTCCTTTAAACCTCATGTTCCTAGGTTGTAATGCAAGCTTTCTGTTCTAAATATGTAGTCTCTTAGCTGAGATAACCCTGATGACCCTGATGACATCACTATGACATCACCAGGATTATTTCCTCAGACTTGATCTCCTTCAGAGCCACAGAAGACTTTCGGCAGTTTTCACAGGAAGAGAAGTACTTACCATAACAAGCAAATTGAAGATTGGAGTTACCCTTTAAAAAAAAAAAAAAAAAAAAAACTATTCTCAATGGGGTTTAAAATATTTATCCAAAAACAATTATCTGTTTCTATTTTCTCCATTTTCAGTGCTGACTGGTCCTAATTAGAAGAAAATGCAGTAAACAAAACACAAATCAAAGACCAGGCAATTTTAATCATTTAACCAGTCAAGAGTAATTACATCAGTTATACAGACATTGAGACATCAGGTCAACCACTTAAGTCCCATGTTATCAAAGCATCACTATTTTCATGACCACAACAGCCACACACTGTAAGATGTAGGGAAAGCATTAATCTTGTTTCTGGTGAAATATGAAATGAAAATCTCACAACCATAGCTACGTGTTGTAACACAAGCAAACAAACTCACAGGTGGGGATAATTATGCCATTACCACTCGACATTTCTTAACACTGCAATATAATAAGCTGCACTTGCCCAGTGTTTACTGTCAGCCGTTCAAACTGCTCTGTGTTTGATGGCCGTCCAGTGTATCTTTGATGATAGAGCTAAGGTTGCACACAAAGATTTGTCTTGTTTTTTTCATTGCACTTAATCCCCCAAAACATCTAAACATAGCACACACATCCCCGTAGTATTACTATTATCTCTTGTAGATACAGATGGGACATGTGTGAAAAGAAAAACACAACAAAACAGTTTTGACAAATTGAAAAATCAGGGTCCTCTCTTTTTAAAATTAATGAACTGCTCTTTGGACACTTCAGCAAACAAAACAAGGAGACATGGATAATTATAGGCCATGGTGTGGAATAAAGTTAAGAGACATGGCGTTTGACATATCATAGCAGGAAGATTTCAAGCAAAATGAATAACATTAATGATGGCTGCCTTCAACTTTATTTAAATTATTTAAATGTTTTGGTCACAGGCTTATGGTGACTCTGAAACTCAACTACGGGTTCTGGTTTGGCGTCGTCTGAGAGGGCCAGGAAACTATAAGAAGGTTCACTGCTTGCTGAGTTAATGTTAGCCATTATAGTGCTTTGGTTTACTCTCACTTTTCTCATAGTTTTGTTTTTGGTGGCAGCAGGCAGCTGTTTTCAGTGAAAAAGCTCTAAAAACCCACTGGACATTACCTGCTCAGCACCAAACAGCAGACAGACACGGTTAGAGACTAGCTAGTGAACAAGAGCCAGATATTTCCCTCTAGTCTTTCTGCTAAGCTAACTGGCTGTTTGTGTATAGCTTTATATTTACCATACAGACACGAGAGTGGTATCGATCTTCTCATCCAACTCTCAGCAAGAAAGCCGATAAAGAAAGGCCAATAAAACTAATCCTTTAACGACTTTCACATATTTTAATTTATGGGCACTTTGAAAACCCTTTTCATTTCAGGTTAATTTCTATGTCATCCCCCTCCATACGCAAACATTGTATAACGTGTCATATTCTAACTGAATTTGTGCTGTCAATGTAACCTTTTCTGATTGTTCTTAAAATTAAATACAGCTGGGAGACTTCATGGTACACAGCTTTAATAGACCTTTCTGGAGTCAAGGTCGATGGAAAATTTACTGAGGCCCCTGCATTGCCACACAGGTGTTTTCACTTATCCTGGCTGATTAGACCTCTGGCCAAGTTGAGCAGAGCTACGCTGGGAATTTACGTGAGATCACTGAACTAAACTTGAAATGATGATGGTTTTAATTTTTCCACCCTAATAAAGCTAAAAGAGCGAGGGAGCTGTCAATCAAGTACCATATGTACATGCCCACACAGTTGTAATCAGGCAAATTATTTAAATGTGTGGGGGTGAAAAGCGGGTGTGTAGGGACTTGAAGGCACTGTATTCCAAGGTAGGATGACTGTACTTCATATTCTTAATTAATACATTATCATGTTCTTAATATTTCTGTTTATAATTATATATTTCAGATCTCATTGTTTTAATGCTGCTACAAAAACAGGTGCAAAGAAACCCACTGTATCCCTATGTGGATGCTGTATGGCCAATAAAGACTAATATTCAGTGTTCATTCTTGTTTTCAATAATTTAACATGTGATTCTGTTCACAAATAGATTAGAAATGCTGTTTTGTCACTCAGTATTTATCTGAGTGGATCTCTTACTTCTGGAGGTTTTCTGTGTGTTTTCTGTCAAAAAGTATTATTACTACCATAATGATTATTATTAAAGGAAAGATTATCTAACAATTTTATTAATTGTGTTACTTTTTGGTACTTATGTAATATGGCTCCGGGGATTTTATCATCAAACAGTGTAAGTTGACTCAAAATGTTTAATTTATATGATCTTGTACTTTTAAACAGTATAAATTAATTGTGCTATGTAAACATAACTGTTATAATAATATGATTTAACAGAAAATAATAAATTAAAATGTCCTACTTTTGAATTTCAAATGGATATCTATAAATAGTAGGAAGAAATTGACTATTATTATATTAAAGAGGCAGAAAAGTAGTTATACTTGGGTTACTGTTAACTTGTGTTTCCCATGTGTTGCAAGGCTTTAACTGCTTAAAATGTGATGGCAAACTTTGCCTATGCAGATCTGTAGAGTAAAAAAAAAAGGCAAGCATGTGAATTTTCTAAAGCGAGCGAGCGAGAGAGAGAGAGAACAGTTGAACGACTCTGACATTTCTTATAGATTTTGATCTTGTTTACCAGTCTTATCTGTGATCAAAACATAGAAAAAAAGACGAGACACACATAAGATTTGAATCCAGATTTCTCGACACAGAGTGTCGATTCATCGCTTCCTGTTTGGTTTATAGGTTTGGACACCCCCCACCCAGTGTATAATTTCAGTAAACAAGCCTTGGTGTCTAAATTAGTGAAGACATGTGAATTTTTACATCTAATTTAAAAATACAGCTTTACAAAAACTCTATTTGCAGTTTCTCAAATATGTTTACAAGCAAATACCTCATGATGTAGCATCCCTACCACAGGGTACAGCTTCATTTTGCTGATAAATTCATGACGAAACATGCAAAATTAACATATTATACGGACATAAAAAAATACACTTGATCACAAATTACCTTACTATTGTAACAGGTTGGGATATGTGCAGGTTGTGCTAATATTTTGTGATGTCAGATTTTTTTCTTTGTTGCTCAAGTGGTACATTGACAAAAAAAAAAAACTTTAATACTGCCCTCTATTGGTTTAAACAGGTACTGCATTATTAGAAATTTTAGAATCATCTAAGAACTGATTTGAGGTAATTCACACTGATGTTTCTGAAGTACAAGCTATTATGAAAAATTCTCTTACGGTTATTGCATCCTCTATGTCACCCTCTTACTTACTGCACTCTAGCCATGTATGACTTAAATTAGTTTGTCTTTTTAGAAATTTGCTATTTGTCTACTCTATTTAAAATCATAGCCATATATGTATATGTCCGTATATGCCTATTTATGGATAATGCTGGACAGGAGCGACTCAATATTTTGAACACATGAACAGTGTTACTGTGTGTCTGAGCAAACAAACTCAACACCTCGTCGTGTCAGTGAAATGTCCTTACAGGTCGAGAAACAATAGGAGTTGCAGTTTCATGCATTTTGAAGCTTTTCAAATACAAATTACCCTGAAAATGTTTTTTGGAACACATGCACATTTGTGTTTTCTTATAGCTCATTTATCTGATCATTTCACACACACAAAAAAAGACTTCCATTCCCTGAGGGATCCATTAGACTGTGTATTTAAGGTTGCAGGTGCAAGAGTAAGATTTATGCAATATCTCTCACTTGAACTTGTTGCTATGTAACTAGTAAACAGGTAAACAACATAAAGCATCTTAATGTCTCTTGGTTGTTGCTTCCATGAAGAAACCAAACATCACACAGTAGTTCTGTTCTCCTCCTCAGCTTACTGGTTCATGACACTAGCAGCTGTCGGCCTGCCACAGCCAGTTTAGCACTAGATGACGCCTAGTCACTACAGCAGCCACTGAAATACCATAGCTACCAAAAACAGCTCCAGAGATGTGACACGACGTCTTATTTTTACACCTTAAGATTGAGGATCAGAGTTATCCAATAAATAAACTGTGATATTTAAGTACCATTTCACCCTCTAGGTTTCAGAATAATGCGTTGCTACATTTACAAAAGTGCTCACAGCGAGGCTTGTTCACCAAGTGCAAATTCCTCAGCTTCCTGCGAGGGCAGGAGTGGAAAGGGAATCAGAAGACCTGGGGATAAAAAAAGTTGAGATACAAGTTGAGAACAAATGGGCCCTTAGGTCCCTTAATCCAACAGTCTAGGACTGGATTTACAATTGTTTATTAGCTAGATGTACTGCCTTCATTATTTTTGGCTGCATGTGTAGCTAACTTTCTCCCTGCTGGCCAAAGGAATTCATGAACTCATGTAGTTTGCGTAATCAAAGCGGGTGGAAAAGTTGCCTGTCGAAGGCCAGCTACGAACTAGCTTCCAGTAAATTGTTACATTATTACACATTACCAAAGGTATTCAAACATGTGACTTTATGCAAGTCTGTGTATATGCAGGGATTATGGTGCT